ATTATTTTTCTCACGAAGTAGAATATGAATCCACGAAATTTTACTCAAAAATAACAATCGGGTCCCACTTTAATTTAGGCTTAAAGTCGATCAAAAATTCAATTTTTACACTTAAAAAACTGTTTTGGTCCAACACTTGAATCATGTCAAGCAGTACTACAAGAAATAATGGTGCTTGAGGTTGATCTCCAGTGTCCTCACTGCAACAAGAAGATTAAGAAACACATTATATTTTAATTAAAACACTGATTCAGAAACCCATGATAATGAATGTCAAATGGTTAAGTTCAAATCAACAAAAAAAAAAGAATCAAAGAAGAACATTACATGCATAACACATCTAATTGATAGCTACTAACCACCTGAAATCTTTAATTACCTCTCAAACCGCTTAAATCTTCCATCGGCGATCGCTGTCACTTGTGTCATGGGGTTTATTTTTGAAAGGAACCACAGGTAAAGGAACTATACAACACATTCGTCCTTTGTTCATCAAATGTACACGTTAGATTTTAAGCAAAGAAATTGTTGATAGAACAATTCAAAGCACCAAGAATTGGTATCCATAATACTATAATTCATGTAAAAGCAGCACAACAGAAAAACAAGAAAAGAAAAAAAACTATAATAGCAAATGCTTCAATTACCAGATCCAATAATTCTATAACAGAATCCAATTAAAAACACAAGACACCCAAGCAAACCAAAACCGTGAAACCCCAAAAAGAAAAAAAAAACTCGCCAAAATCTAAGCCAGGTTTAAATTGGAACCTCAATACCTTATCACCAGATTAATTAGACAGATTTACTACAAATATTATTGGAAAATGAACCTTAAAATTCAGGAGAATTTAGTTTCATTAAATTGAACTTCAATTTTATCAAATTGACATTTAATTTTATTAATTCAAATATTAATTTCATCACACTAACACTAATTTCATCACTTTAAAACTAAATAAATATTTTAAAATTTAATTCCGTCCAATTAGTGTTAGTGTGATGAAATTAATATTTAAATTAATGAAATTGAATGTTAATTTGATAAAATTGAAGTTCAATTTGACGAAGTTAAATTCTAAATTAAATGTTAATTTGACTTTAATTTGAGGAAATTAAATTTTAAAATGTTAATTTGATGAAATTAATGTTAGTGAAATGAAATTAATATTTGAATTACTGATAATTAAATGATTAATTTGATGAAATTGAAGTTCAATTTGATGTTAATTTAATGAAATTAAATTCTAAATTAAATGGAGGTGTGTGTAGAGTAATTTAGAAACTATAGGGGGTTAAAGGGTAAACAATAGGGTTGAAGCCTTAAAGGGTAATTCAGTAAAATCACATCTCTATTTAGTCTGTTAACCTACATAATCTGATAGTAGGTGACAATAATATTTTAGAAATTATAGGGGGTGTTCCTATAATTAGGCCAATCTCAAGGGGTATCATTGAAATTTATCATAGATAAAATAAGAAAGGAAATTTTTTAAAAAATATAAATATATATTTTACCATTATATTTATATATAAAATTAATGTATACATAATATTAACTGATAAATATAATATATGTATATATCAAATAAAATTTTAAAAAAATAACATATATTTCAACACATATATCAGGCTGCCGACTTCATGGTTAATTGAGTTTGCTCTCAGCAGCTCAATCAGCGATTTCTTGATTCGTCATACCTTCCTTCTGAAAATGCTGATATCCTCGCCTTGTATACTCAACAGACTCCTCACATTCGTCGGTGAATTTTATTTTCATTTATGTTTTCATTTAGTTCTATGGGGTGTCCCCACTTTGTTTTCATGTCTTTGGTGGTGAGTCACCAACTTACTTTTGTTTCGATCCTTCCACTTTGTATTTCTGGAGGTTGGTCTCTCTCCCTTGTATTTTTTTCCTTTTAGTTATATATACAAGTAGGGGTTTTGTCAAATCCCCCACCCACACTGGGTGGCTTTGAAGAAAAAAAAATTAAATTTTTATCCACTTTTCTTTTCAATTTTAAAGTGATTGATTTTAGTGAGTTAGAAGAAAAGTTCGTTCATCCACTTTTCTATCATTCCTTATCAAATATGATATTTTATCTATTTTTCTAACTCTTCACACCTCTATTTTTCCGTCGTACCAAAAGAAACATAATGTCACCCGCAAACGAATTGCCTATCCTGAATTTAAGTGTGATTAATTGTATAAAAATTATTCATTGATCTGCTGGAAAAAAAAAGTATTAGAGAGAGTTTTTGCCACCCGGACTAGGCCAATGGTGTTGAAACATGTGGTATAGAACAACAGACTAACAATCGTATTCTTTGGTTGTTAAAGTTGTGGTTATTAAAATTCATATGTGATACAATATGTTTCCAAACAGAAATGTCATAATCATGAACTTTGACTTTTTGGGCATGGTGGTCGAGTTCTATTGGTCCTTTTTAAGTTTTCTAGTCTATCTACTTTAAATTACATTAAATTGCTTAAAACGTTTTATCCGAAAAAACAATAAAGATATATATGAAGTTATGCTGTTTTTTGCGTTGGAAACAAAATCACATGCAGTCATGAAACTATTCTAATCTTTAAATCTTTGTCTAGGCTTCAAATGAAAAATCTCTTTAGTGGTAGGTTTTGTCTACTACTTATCTATGATTCAACATAACAAATGTGTCATTTTAGTCTGTTGAATTCTTGGAAACTATTTGCCATGACTTAACCTACATGGAAGAATTCTAAGAGAAAAGGTTTTTTAAACATCCCATTCTCACTACTGTTTATGTTATTTAAGTCGACATTCTTACTTTTATTTGTTTCATTTATACTTGATGATTGCTTATTTTTAAAGAGAACAACATTTTCTTATCGATGCATTTTTACATCTCATGTTTTCGATCGCTTAGTCATGTTCATCTTCTGTAAAAAAAATGTTTGATCAATTTGTTTCTATGCACTTTTTCAGGGGAGGTTGTTTAGAGGGTCATCATTCATAGTTTGAGTTGTTTTCCTTCTGAGGCTAAAAGTTATTACAATAAAGTACAAATGACTTACTAGTATTCTAATTTGACATTCAATTTGGTAGGAGGGATGAAAAAGTGAGAGAAAACAATAGAAATGGTTGAATTTTTATCCCAAAAGCAAGAACTACAAATATATTTTGTTCGGTAGGACACACGTAAAATTGGAAACAAAAAAGAAAAGCTTTTTATTGTTTGGTATTCTAGGAAATTCAGAGGAAAAGAAAAAAATGGGTTGTTGGATATATAAGGGTAGTTGTTGTTTGTGATTAGTAAAGGCAAAGAAGTCCTTCCACTGTTACTTGTTTTTTCCGTCGTATTTTCCATATAAAGTTGGAAAGAAAATCTTTGGTGGATAGAAGTGATAAACATTCTCCTTATTTTATTCCGTTGAACCGAAAGGGAATAAATATTTAAACCCTAACAGATTTGAATTCTAAAATTACACTCTCAATGTCATAAAATGCCTACAAAGCGACCCAAATTGAAATTGTAGTTCACGTTCCGCTTAAGAGGTGAAAAATATGACAATAAATGACGTTGTCAGATGGAAAAAATGAACAACAGTTTGAGTCTTAGTCAAAATGTATTTTTTATAACATCGAGGGTGTATTTTAAAAATTAAAATCTTGAAGAGTGCAAATTAAAACTTTGAGCATCGCTCATATTGCAAAGTGTGATTAATCCTATTTAAAATAATATGTTTTATATATCTTAGGTAAACACGGTTTCAAGTTACGACTTAGCTCGGCTCATGTCCAGAAGATTTCAGATTAATTTTGTTTTTTTTCCCCAAACCCTACCAAGAGAGAGAGAGAACTAGGCGTCACCATGATTTTGCCCTTGTGTCAACTTTAGTCCCAGACCTCAGTAAATATTGGTAACCATGTGATTATTGCTTGCTTCAGTCTTAAACCACGTGGAACTTAGTTGATATTATCTGTAAGTTATGATGAAGGTGGTTTTCCCACGTTTATGCGTTCGAGTAACCCATGATACATACAACTTATTAAGGTAAGCACATGATTAATGCTAAAGCTGTACTTTTTGTGTGCGGCTGAAACTCAGAAATAACTTAAACTTATAGTACCAGCACATTTTTTTTTTTTTTGGCATTATGGTTAAGGGTATCTGGAGTTTGGATTAACTTTCACACATTCGACTAATCTCTTTCCAGTTTAATTAAACACAGATCATTCATACTGGTATTAAAAGATAGATGACCCTTATTGAGTTGCAAATTAAGTTCAGTATGATGTCGTTTCCTAAAATATATAGTAGTTGTCTTGTGATTGCAAATTGATGTTTTCTTATTTCACCGTGCACCGGTGGATAACTATAACACATAAAATACAGTGCTATTGCGGAAAAATACAGGTGAGCCATTGCACTATGAAGCCCAAACAAATTGTACGTTATAGTGAAGTAAGTATGAATCATTAGTTAGGAATAACTAATGTTCAAGTTTAGTAGGAGGGGTAAACAAGTAGGACGAATATAAATTCGCAGTATTGGTTTTTTTTAGTTTAACGATCAGGAATGTCTGAGTCAGCTTACGCACACCATGACTAATTTTCTAATTGCTACTCAAAGAGAAATAAAAAGAAGAAAAAACATAGAAATTTAATTATGTATAACGCGCAAAAATGTTATTTTAATCAATAAGGACAAATAATCTTTGAGTAATTTTACATGAACTTAAAAATTATACTTGATAATCGTAACCATTGAATAGGCAATATGTCCTAATAAATATTAGAACTCACAGCAAAATCAATGATTATAATTATTAAATCTACTTTTTAAGTTTAATTATTTTACCCAACTTAAACTTCCTCATTTTGACCAACTTTTCCTTTGTCCTTATATGTCTGTCACCCTACTTTCTTATCTCCTTCTCCACCCTCTTTTTTTTTCTCACTATCCAAACAGAGTAAAATTAACTAATTACAAGTGTAAAAGTAAATTAAAAAAAAACACTATTGAATAAATCTCTTGAAGTCATGCTACCATAAAATCAACTCCATGTCATTAGCCATGTCTCCCCAGTTAAATCCTCTTTTCATGGCTGGTGGAGTGAGAAGCATACCCTCAGCCATGCTATCAAGGAAACAAGGCATGTTGAACAATGCTTCCTCATCTGTGAAAATAGCCATGGAATTACCTGCAAAAACTTGTTCTTCTGACCCATAAACACCTGCAGAATCAGTTGAAGAAGGCTCTAGAACCTTCTTTTGACTCTTGAAAGTCGATTCATCGATAAATGGAGGTTCCAAATCTATTGAGGAAGGTAATCTGAGTTCTATTGAACTTGTACTCTGTGACAAATTAAGTGAAGAAGATAAAGACGAGGATGGGGATGCAGCCAAAGGTTGGAAACCTTTAGCAGCTGCAAGAGCTGCTATTTGTATGTCCCGGGCCGAAGATGACTTAGCCCGGGGAAGAAGCCTAACTGAGTCGGGGAAGTTGAGCGTGGCTGCTTCCCCACGAAATGCTAGGGCAGCCACATCATGTGCCCTAGCTGCCATTTCTGGGGTAGGAAAGGTCCCTACCCATATTCTTGACTTCTTGTTTGGTTCACGTAATTCACACACCCATTTGCTTCCATTTCTTCGTCGGACACCTCTATAGGTAGGATGCCGTGTCTCTTTGAACTTCTTCCTCCCCGCCTTTCGCTTGTGTGAGACCATTGGCACGTTGCTTGGTGACGATGAATTAAGGTTTGTTGCAATAATGTCAGAGGAAGAAGATAACGTAGAAAATGAAGATTTATCATTCTTGAAGCCCATTACATATATAAATATGTAGAGAGAGAGAGAGAGAGAGAGAATATGCAGTTCCAAAGAAAATATATGAAGGAAAGAGATTAGGGTATATATTTACGAGTAAGAGTGTAATACGCATATGCATTGGACCATATGAAAATAGTTTTTGTATTAAGAAAGCAATGCGAAGATTGAGAGCTGGGATTTTATATACGCTCATTCCCCCCCCCCCCCCCCCCCCCCCCCCCCCGGCTCTCCCCCTCCCCCACACCCCAAAGCAGTGGACACAGAGAAAGACACGACAAACACGTGGTGTAGACAGTGATATTTACCCATCTGAGCATTGGGACCGGGTTGTAGTAGTAGAAACCACATTCATGTGAATTCAATCCTAGGATTGCAGGGAGAGCACTTTTTTCGCTTCAAGATTACTGACTTGATTGAAACCAAAAGTGGTTGTTGGCATGGTTAATCGGAAGGAATATGTTATTTGAATATAATTTAAGCATCTTATCTGAAGATCTAATGATGTACTACTATTGGTTTGGTTATAAGCTTCATATAACATTGAAATTTATAACTAATTCAATGATTGTATTGAAACCACATTATTAAGTTCTCAAATTAGGTCATCAATAAGATCCCCTGCAGCATTGCTCTAATCAAAAACTTGGTCGAGGCCCTTGATGAACCGTCATAATTAGTGAACAAGTGTAACCTTCGCTGTTCGACAATATGGAGTACAAGGAACCTCTAGATTAGTTTGGATATGGTACTCACATTTTTTGGTTACCACAATAGATTCTCCTGAAAACTAATAAAGGTAGAGTAATGCTATATGGACTTAAGAAGTAGACTTAAAAACTAGACTTGATAATCTCAACCATTGATTTCATTGTGGATCCTAGCATTTATTGGAACCCACTACCTATTCAATAATTGAGATTATCAAATTTAATTTTTAAGTCCATGTAGCATTACTCATAAAAGTATGTGCTAGAGAATTAGTGATTCTAAATAGGGAGTCGGCTTTCTTTTTATTCTATTGGAAGGTGCATTTACATCCCAAAATTGAGCATAAGGATGACAATCAAGTCATTTATTATATATGTTCAATGAAAAAAAACTTGGGTTAAATAGTTTTTTCTGACTCAAATCCATATTGGTCTCTTAAATAATTGTCAAAATCTGTAACTAAGTTCTTTAATTTTTTGTTGGAGTCAAGTCATTTTAATGTTTCATATTAGAAATTGATTGTCGATTGAGTTGGTTTTGATTTTGTGTGGAGCTAACAATATTGTTATTCAAATATAATTTATTAGAAAGATGAATGGACCACATGAGAAATCTTTTGTGGAGACCAAGACTTATACATAATTCTAGTCATGACAAACTGTGTGTAAATCAAAATAGTTCAGAAATTAAAAGTTCGAAGGGAAAATTAAAGCCAACATGTTGGAAGATTGATTGAATGCCCTATCGAACGCAGCATACTAAAGTAGCAGAATTGGAATGAAGGACCTCTAAAGGATTGAAATTATAGGATCGAATCGAGAATCATAATATCTTATGAACGGAAAAAATAAAACAAAAAACATAATAAAAAAAAAGATTCTTAAAAACAAGAATCAAATAAGTCTTGTATATATACAAATAACACTTGTATAAAGTTGAGAGATATGATTAAATTTTTGGAACTACAACTTGAGCATTGAAGAAGGTTGAAAATCAAAGATGAATTGTTGATCTTGTAAAATTTTGATAACAACTAATATCAACGTTGTATGGAAGTGGATATATAATTAACATGTACGTCCCACGTGTTTTTCGCATCTTTTTGTCAATACTTAGGCGTCAAATTCCGTGGCAAGGACGTGTGTGGCATTTATTGGTACACATCGTGGTATTGATATCCTTGCGAGGTTAAATATCTATCTTCACAACATAAGGGCCCCAGAAATACTGGTTTGAACGTGAAACCTTAAAGCTAGGATACCTTTGATTGCCGTCTTGTTACAGTCAATGGAGCCCCTCGTCCTTAGTGTGTGCTTCATTCGGAGGTTGTGGAATCGAGGATTTGATGGGACACTTCTGAGAAGGAGTTGCATGGCTAATACGTGTTTTCGATGCCGAGAGTACATTTTTGTTTTAACAAGGACACATGTTCTGAGTACCGAGGACACGTCTTTTGCCCAAGTAAAAACATGTGTATTGGCTCCGAAGGTGTTTGTTGCTCTGCCACCAAGTACTTGTGCTCAACTCCGAGGGTACCTCCCCTCCGAGAAGCCATGTGTCCTCGACTCCAAAGATACTCATTAAAACTCTGATCTCACCACGTGTCTTTGGTCTCTGGAGAGGTTAGTGATAGACAACTAAATAATCTAAGCTAGACTAGGAATCATGAGGACACTCTGCACAATGGAATCAGTAAGGCAGAACAAGTTGGACACTCAAGCAGAAAGAGTCAGACGCGTGGCATAAAGTACATGATGAGGGGTAAAAAGACAGAACTATCTCTGTTGATTTACGGCTATCCCATTCAAGCATTTAATAAATCCCCAGTGATGGAACATCCATAATAGCTTGGGAAGCCGAGGATATGGAGTATTTTAAAGTCTTTGCATCGAAGAAAGAGCATTAACTGCTTGGGAGCCCGAGCAATCAATGACGGGGTTTCGCCCATGCAAAATATGAGGCACACTGCCCCATTTTTGGACACTATCTATTGACTAGACCATTTGTGATGATGGGTCTTTGGGGATATAAATGGTTCCCAAAAACATGGTGCAAAGGTACGCAAATTGACCCCCCCAAGAGCAATACAATGTTTTCTTCTCTTCTTTCAAAGAACTGACTTGATAATCAGATGGGATACGCCGAAAAACACTCTAACATTTTTCTAACTTGTTTTTATGTGTGCCAAGAGCCTCCTGCGACCCATCGGGACCGATTAAACAGTCCATGGGACAATTCGTCACCACTCCTTAGGTCTCCTTTGACCCTCTCAACTCATCCATTGCAGCGAAATCCACCATCTCGACGAACATGAGTTCGTAAGGAGAGAGATTTGTGCTCATTTAATCTATTATGCAAAAATTATCGCACACAGAATTCTAAATTTATAATCTCAAAAAGAATTTCAGATGGCTCTCGACATTAGGATCAATGGATTCCATGAATTGTTTTCAACGGGATCCACTCATCTAAGGATCTATATTCATCTATCATTAAATTGACGTCATGCTCTTGTGGTTTTGTGGATTTCACTGTGTCAAAAATATATGAGAAATTAGCGATAAATGATTAAATTTAATCGAAATTGACAAAGATCAAATTGAAAATATTTTCACATGACACTAATTCTAATCCCAGGGTATTGGGATCAAATGAATCGAGGAGGTGATATTTCTTACACATTCTGAGCAAAACAAATAAAAGGAAAAAGGAAAAAAATTCACGACAACACAAAATTTAATTTTTTGTATTACAGAGTGTTTTTAGGAACAAAATTATTGCTATATATATACATTATCTATTGCGTGCTTACATGGATTTGCCTTTCCTCCGGGGCTTCCTAGTTATGAACTATTTTGTTTGTACTATGTATATGGATTATTTTCTTCTCATCCTCTTTTTTATGAAAGAAATTTTAGACAATTTTAAAAGTAAAATGTCAAATGACACTTATCCCCCCAAAGTTACTGCCCTATTTCATTTTGCTCCCTATACTTTCAACTTAAATACGTTTCTCTCCAAATTGTTTAAATTTGCCTCAATTTGCATAGAGCTGGATCGAAGAAGACCACATACTAGAAAGAAGAACAAAGTTATTGAAAGCTAATATGAGGATCTAATGTATTGCGGTATTTGGATTAACAATGGGTCCTAAAATTGGGATTTGCCATTGTTTCATGGGAGCTAATGTATTGTGGTCTTTTCCTCTAGTTGTTGTTGTCCTTGTAGTTGAAGCCACCCCACATGACTGGCACGTTTTATTCTAATGTATTGTGGTATTTGGATTAACAGTGGGTCCTAAATTTGAGATTTGCCATTGTTTTATGGGAGCTGATGTATTGGGGTCCTTGAAGCCACCCCACATGACTGGCACGTTTTATTCTTTCGTCTAATTTCTGACATGCGTTTATATTTTAGCCAAATTAAATATAATTGACCATGGGGTCAAACAAAAATAATAATCACACAATTAAAAATTTTATTCTATAAAAAAATTATTAAACAAGTTATTTTTTAATGCCAAGTTTTTACTTTTATTGAACTTATAAAATCAACTTTTATACAATACAAATTGCAAAATTTAGTTTAGGTCATAACATTTTAAAATTGATTCTTACTTGATATCGTAAAATTAATTTATGACAATTTCGTGGTCCACTTATTCTCTCCTTTATTACATAATACAATGACTATGAATAAATTATCAGCGTAAATGTTACTTTCACGTGATACTTATCATAAATATTAATTATAACAACCTATTTTTATGATATGTAATGTACATAACTAAAATAGGTTTTTTTTTATTCTTGAGTCAAAAGACCCATACAAAAAAGTGTTTTAGTTTGTAAGAGAAATACAAATTTATGTGATTAATATTTCCATTTTGTTATTAGATATCAAGCCATGATTTTTGAATACACTAATTTAATTACCCTACAAATATAAACAAAAATTTAAAAACTTCAAGGAAGGTGTAAAATTTTGAAAAACCTAAGTATAGAAATATATGGTATTTTTGAAAAGTTGAGGGCCATGGCACCCCTAGGACTAAGGCTGTTGCTGTTAGTTGAACTAGTCCGAGCCAAACTTGAAAGGTTTGTTTCTTAATCATATCTAAAAATGTTAAAATTCGACTCGTTTCCTAAACGAGTCGAGTTTGAGTCAAGCCCGAATATTTACACATAAACGAGTCGAGTTTGAGCCGAGCTTGAATGACTTATTTTCTAAACGAACTTAAAAATTTGTTCAAATTTAAACTCGTTTAAAAAATGAACTGAGCCTGAATGAGCCGAACCCGAGCTCAAATAACTCAGTTTGATTAACAACCCTATCTACGACCCATTCTAGTTCCGTCCATGTCAAAGGGTGGCTCGTGAAATGCATTTCC